TGAGGGCCGACTTGACTTTGCTGATCCATGTTCTCGCTCGGTCCTCGTCTTGACCCTTGCCCGTGAACTCCTTCAGATCCGATATGGCTGAGATCCGTACCCTCTGGATCATGGACGATCCACCCGCCCCGGCTGCGACTGTTGCTACCACTGCTGACGAAGTGGATGGGCCATCCAGATCATCTGGGTCGAACTCATCATGGGAGTTGTCTCCCTCCACGGACTCCATCTCCACGTCTCGTGCTCCATGGTCGTGGAGCACTTGCACTTGTGGCACGGGCGCTCTCATACCCTGTTCGGCCAGGAAACGACTCATCGCAGCTTCGAAGTGTCGCTGCAGGGTGCCCGAGGAAGTGTCGGAAGAGCCTGTGGCCGTCTGGTCCACTGGCGAGACCGGATCCGTGAGGCGATTACCTTGAGCCCGATCTGACGATAATCCCACTGGCTTCTTGCCGGATCTGGCTCGATCGTGGCTGGATTGTGTCAGATCACGCGTAGGGCCTACTGGATCCCAAGCCTTCGCGCTCACAGGGACTTCCTGGCCTCGGCTCCTCGCCCGCGCTTCCAGCATGGATGCCCCGGAGGGTCCTAAAGTCATGCGTCGTGGTTTGGACGACGTGTCTGACTCATCCTCAGCGGCGGATTCGTAGTTCGAGGACGCAGCTTGGCTGATCCTCGGCGACGACACCGGATCCATAGTGCGCGACCTTTCTCCGGTGATGGACTTAACTCTGGCAAAGAGGTCCCGCGTCGCGGATACTATGAGATCCAGGTCTAGCTCGAAGATATCCTCTGCGTCGAACACACCAGCTACGATGCCTGACTCCGTAAGCAAACGTAATAGATCCTTGACTGCCACCAACTTGTTCGCCGTTTTCGTTGGTGCTCTCACCGGTTCTCTTGGATCTTCGATCTGTCGTGGATTCAGGATCTGCATGACAGGATCTTGATGCAGGAAGTCGCGTAGAGCTTGGTGGCGATACACAAACTCGAGATCCTTGTCGGACCAGCCTGGCCTGGATCCAGCTTGGTCTTCTTCCGACTCTGGAGCTTGCATCTTCTTCCGCGTAGTCTTACTCGTTTTCGTCTTCTTTCTCGTTTCTTCGACTAGCGGGGTTGGGTTTAGGTACAGTGTTGGCTTAGCCGGTGAATCTGCAAATGCATACCGTTTCGCCTTCACTTTTCCTTGTTTTGTTAGCGGATCTTGACGCAAGTCAAGATCCGCAGGGGTCCCCGAGGGGACCTGGGGAGGATAGAGAGGTCTTTCTTCTAGATCCGGATCCGGATCCACCTCTCTTCCGTCGACAGAGTTCCTTCCAAAACTCCATCGATCCGCGGATCTTGTTTCATTCAGCAGCGTCTTCGTCGATCCGACCTCCGACGACGCCTCTTCCCCTGGCTCAATCTTCACTTGAGCATCTTGTTGGGACTCACGGTGAAATCCCGAGTCACCAAAAGATCCGGGCACGCACACCATTGTGGTGTAGCGGGATCAGCAAAATCTGCGAGATTGCCAGATCCAACTTACCAACTGCGCCCAGACACCGACTAACGGAGGGGGTCCCCCGATGATCCGTGTTCTGCTGAACTTTTCTCACCTTGTGTACCCGTCGGTAGGGCGGGATCTTGCTCTCTCGGTAACTTCCGAAGAGTTCCAGTGGTGAAGCTTGAGTGGCTTGGCGAGACGTGGGGATGGGGTGGAGCAGCAGTGGAAAATCTTCACTCTGCGTCCGTGGATGGTTCCGAATCCTAAGCGAATATTCGAGCTTATGGATCCGGGGCCTAGATCGTGGATCTGGCCGTAGGGTTGCCTTGCGGGTGTGTTCCCTTGCCTTTGTGTTGTCCTTTAAGTCGTACTTGCCGCCTCCTGTGACGGGATCTTGAGAGTTGAGAACCTCTAGGGTGTAACCGACCAAGTAGTAAATTCGGTTAACCCGTCGGATCGGCACAAGTAAAGGAAAAGCTCACTAGGTTGTAGGATCTGGCCAATGTATTATCCAGTTATCACTACCAACACTAGATTCGCAATTCCCAACCTTCTCCTAGCTCGTACGGCCAATGCAGTTCCGGTTCTTGAGGGCAGGAAGGCACTTGCGTGTTACTGTGCAAATTGAGGTCTGTATTGATAGTTAAGCCTATATCTGCCTGGATTTCTACCTTCTATGTCTTTCATCTGCTAAATCCCTTACCAGGCTCGGCTGCATGTCCCTTCTTCCCTTGACCCATCATCCCAGCTGTGTTATCTTCAGATCCACCGGATCTATGACGTAATCATCATGGTCACCCTATTATGGGTACACTCATCCGGATCCAGGTCGCTTGGATCCACTTCACTGTAAGTTTGCACTCGTCGTCGATCTGAGCTCTCCCATCATCCAACATCATCTCGCAACCGTCTGTGATCTCCATTGTCCCACGAAAGTTCGAGATCCACTGCATCCATCATCCCTATACCCTGGATCCAGGTCCCTCAAGGCGGGATCCTCCCTCCATGGATCCGAACTCGGAAGTATGGGATCCGGGGTACCTCGCGGTGGATCTTGACTCTTCATTAGCCGTGACTACTAGATCCATCTTCAGAGGGCACCGACCATTCTTCCTTCATAAGATCCACACCCGATCCACTCTTGTATAGTATATCCCATATCCATTTAAGTGAATCCAGGTAAGGGTGGATCCGAGGTAAGTCTTGGTGGATCTTGCCTTCTCGTACATCGCTCATACCAGATCCATCGTCACTTCATACGGGGTGCTGCTCGTCATGGCTAATCCACC